GGGGGGGGTGTACAGGGACAATGATGGCATACTTGGACTTGTAGTTCCTTAGCTGATTTATATGTGTGGGGGTGGGGGGTAGAGTTCCAGTGGATGTTTATATAATATGGGGGGGCGAAAAAAAGTGTTCTGCCCCGGGCGCCAATAACTCTGGTTACGCCACTGCAGCTATGTTGTCCTAGATTGTTCACTTCTCCCGCCTTCTCCAAACTCTTCACCCTTTTGTGAATAACCTTGACAATGAATATAGACATTTAAAGATACAGGGTGAGAAATGTTAAAAAGGCATGCAGAACCAAATATGACATTTTTTTATGACCTTAATGCTCCTCTGTCAGTTGTTATTGCTGTCTGTCTCCCCATTAGGAGGAGGCAACCCTCACTTTGTCCTTCTTTCCATTATCACTGAGAAAGACAGGGAAAGAGAGTTGTATCTTCCAATGGGGACACCAGTTCCAGAATTCCCCTCACTTTGGGAGAGTTATTCTAACTTCCTGTTGCATCTTTTAGACAGGACGTGAAGGCAAATTTCCCCAATGGTATAAAGACAGCGAAAAATAACTTGGCAGCAGTGTACTGTTAACCCTTTCCTGCTCTATCCAAAGCTTTAAAAAAAAAGGTTTTGCTTATACAGATTAGGAACAATAGGAAACCAAAACAACTGTTCTGCCAAATTACACCAATGTGAATGTACTATAAAAAGCTTTAGATTTAAAGGGTTTCTAAACCCTCCAGTTTTTTTGCATATATCTACTGCTGGAAAGCAGTAGATATAGGCAAAATGTTTCTTTTTTTAACGCTTTAAAGGAGGTAAATACTTACCTGTGTCTTCCCCGCGCTCCCGTCCGAAAATCTGAAAATTCTCAGGAGACGAGGAGAGTCACAAGGTAAGTACATGGACGCTTGCACCAGACACCATGGGACAGGAAGTACCAGCAAGGACAGAAGAGTCAGCGCTGGATCGAAGACCCGCAGCAGCGCTGGAAAGAAGGCTGAAAACGGCAGGAAAGAAGATCAGATTAATAGACATCATTTAAGGTAAGTACTTTAATTAACATTGGGGGGAGGGAAAAAAACTGTTTGCCTTTAATGTCACTTTAAGGGTGACATACTCTAAAATACTAAAACAAAATGCACATCAGCATACCAAAATCAACACATTTTTATTATGTGTACTAGTGAATACGTCTAGTAAGTGTGACACAAGACGGAGTCTAAAAAATATAAACGTATTATGCAGAACTTCAGCTGCCCACAACAAATATGGCCGTCGAGGCAGCATATGACAAAGTATTGCGCGCCTTACTTCCGGTCCAGCGGTGACGTAATTCCGGCTTTGTACAACACGCTAGACAGTGTGGAGTAAAGATGACTCGCTGGGCTCGTCCAGGACATGTAAACACTCCGAGCCGGAACCGCAAGCTGTGTGCGGCCACCCCATGGGAAGAGTTGGGGAAGGCCGCCCCGAATAGAACTGGCCAACCGCCCAAGAAGAAGAAGGAGGGCGGCTATGTGAACCAGGATGTCAATGGCTTCAATGCCATGCTAAAGGATCAGCGCCGGGAGGGTCGGAGGGTGAAGAGACAAACCAGCAAGAAGAATATGATGGTGAGCAGAGCGCCCTGTGGAGTGGAGGAGCTGCTGTCCTCTCCGGGTGGATATTATCGGTCTGTGTACACAGGGTTTCCGTGTGTGTAGGTCAGAAATGTTACATTGTAACATACAAGGCACTCTTCAGAAGAAAAAAAACTTTATTGAAATGTCACAAATGACACTTCATCTCTATGCAGTGGATTGGTGAGAAGAGCTGTTGTGAGGTGCAGAGGAATGTTGTAGGGCTGCAACAACTAATTGACATAATCGATTATAATCGATTATTGAAAAAGTTGTCAACTTTGACATGTTACTGCAGCCCACCTCGGCACAGTGGCGTCCTGTGAACAGGGCGTGCAGACATTTGTGTTCTCTGTGCCATTGCAGTGAGTTTGCATTGGTCTGTGTGGATAACACAGGTCACCACACACAATCTGATATTAGCGCAGGTTGGTGGGGTGCACAGTGTCACACTGCAGCCCTTTCATCACAAACAATGTACCCCTTCTAGGCGTGTGCTGATGGCCTTTTCTTCATGTAAGATTGGTTCAGATTCCTGTACAAGTCTATAAGAACGCAGAACCTCTTTGAAGTGGATGATTTGCAGGTCAGAAAAAGGTCAACTGCAGGTCAAATGTACACTGAATTCTGAATGATCTCTGAATCGTCTCAAACTGATGTCCAATGGCACAAGGCCAAAGTTCGTGGACATAGGCCCTTAATCCATTTGCTGCAGCCCGCAGGGGGCCCTGTGAGCAGACTTAGCCGGGAGTCTGTTTACATGTGTTAAGCCGACTGTCCTCTTTACACTGGAAGTGCCTCGGGCAGATGGGTAACATCCGCAGGCTGCCAAATGTGCACCCCTATCCCCCGCTATGTTTTCCAGGCTCAGCTTCCCCTTCTGCGGGACCGGCATGGCAGCTAAAAGTGGGGAGGGAGATCAGCGAACATTCATTCGCTGATCTTCCTCCTGAATGAACCCGGAAGTGACCATGGTTGTCACTTCAAGTTCCTGAGCCGTCATTCCCTGGCCACAGGTCTGTGCTTGATCAGCTTCTAATAGACTCTAATGGAATGTCTTGTTAAAGAGAATCTGTCACCACTAAAGTGCTGTCACATTGTCTCTCGAGAGTGAGAACAATTAATTCTGGGGCCATTATTCCCAATTAACTCTAAATGAATTACCTGTAAAAGATTTTAAAGTGTCGCCTATACACAGTTTTGTGTACTCTGGTATTATGGCTTTAGATGCACTTTACTTTCAGCAAATGCTAAAGCAGCAAAAAAAAAAAGACTTCCAGTCTGTCAATCCAATTTCGCAGCCAGTAACTGGATTCCATAGACTTTGGTAGAAGGCCATCAGAAAGGGTGGGCAGTAGCTAAAATATTGTTAGCATAGTGGACGTCTGGCTTTAGGCTCTAACATTGTTCCTGTTCCACAATTTATACATTTTAAATCGGTGTTATTCAGCTTGGTAACACAAGGGCTCCTGATTTGCCAGATCATCCTAAGGGCCACAGATTGGGGACAGTTCATCAGAAATGTAAAAAATGGGACCAAAGTGGAGAGTTTGGTCATGTCAACAAATAGCATTTGTTATTCCGTTAGTCTGGAGAATAATGGATGAACTTCGATTGGACTCTGCTTGTAGCTGCCAGGCATCGGGAGTTTGGTGATTACATATGACCGGTTTCCTCCATTATATTTTCCAGGTATGTTTCCACTGTCGCAAGCCTGGCCATGGCATGGCTGACTGCTCTGAATCTCTGAGATGTCAGGAGATGGGTACAGGAATCTGCTTTCGATGTGGATCAACAGAACACGAAATAAACAAATGCAGAGCCAAAGTGGATCCAGCTCTTGGTACATGTGAGAATTATTTCTTGGGAATCCTTCGCTGCTTTGTAAATGAGAGTGCTGAGTTATGTATATCTCCATCTTATCTACAGTTATCTACATCACCAACCTTATCTCAATATCATCCAAACTGTCCTCTCCGCTCCTCTCAAGACCTCCTGCTCTCTAACTCTCTTGTCACCTCCTCCCATGCTCACTTCCAGGACTTCTCCAGAGTGTCTACCATCCTCTGGAATGCCTTACCCCAATCTGTCTGCTAATCACCTACTCTGTCTGCATACAGATATATTTTACAGTCATGGCCAAAATATTGGCACCCCTGCATTTCTGTCAGATAATACACCACTTTGCGCAGAAAATTGTTGCAATCAAAAATGTTTAGGCATTCTCATGACCCTTCCAATCTGAGAGACCTGGAGCAGTTGGTGAAAGAAGAGTGGTCCAAAGTTCCTGTAGAAAGATGTAATAAACTCTTTGATGGTTACAGGAAGCAATTTGATTTCAGTTATTTTTCCAAGAGCTGTGCTATCAAATATTAATTGAGGGTGCCAATAATTTTGTCCAGTCCATTTCTGGAGTTTTGCGCGGAATGTGTCAGATTTGGCTTTTTTTTTTGTGTCCTACCAATGCAAACAAAAGAAATAAACATGAGAATGCCGAAACATTTGTAATTGCAACAATTTTCTGGTCGAAGTGGTGCATTATCTGAGATATGCAGGGGAGCCAATATTTTTGGCCATGACTGTGTGTGTGTGTGTGTGTGTGTGTGTGTTTGTATACAGTGTATATGTGTGTATATCTATATAGATCTATATAGATCTATATAGATCTATATAGATCTATATAGACCTATATAGACCTATATAGACCTATATATAGATATATATAGTTAATATTATTTGGACAAGAACAGGGAGAGGGAGTATGTCTTTGATGGTTATAGGGTTGACTGTTATCTTTCAGTCATAACCCGTTTATGATGAAGAATGTTCTTGAAGGATGATAGATTTGGGAACAAGAAGTCCTCAGCACCTTGGAAGTGCGTGAACTTGGTGCGAAATGAGTTTGCCTAAGCCCGTGCAAAGCTATGAGTGACACACGGTCTGTTTGGCTGTAGACGGGGCGTTCCCTGCCATGCAGCTACACTTAACAAAGGTGTGGGGACTGCTCCGATTGAGTCTGGAGGGGCATTACTGACAGTTTTGCACGAGCTTGGGTGAACTTGGTGTGCACAAAGCCCACCCACATCCCTAGTTGGCACCTTTTATATGAAGATAAAAGCAGTGTCTTCCAGCTATTATTAGGTCAGGATAGTAATTGTGTACTTTTAAATGTTTCAGGAGAGTTTCCATATGCAAAATGCTTCATATGTGGAGAAATGGGGCACCTATCACGGTCATGTCCAGACAATCCCAAAGGATTGTATGCAGAAGGTATGTATATCATTCATTTTTACAAACATGCTGGATTAATACATTTCACAAACAAAACTGATTAAATGCTGAAAACAGATTTGTAATGTATTTTTATGAATGTGTTTTGTGTTTTTTTTTGTTTTTGTTTTTTTTTGTACAAGTGTCCTTTAGATCTAATTCAACAGAGTAAGAAGCTACAGTAAAAGAATCCTGTGCTGAGAGAAAAAGTGCTATAGCTGACCTTCTGAAAATGTCTCACCAACCCAGTTACTTCATTATTTTCACAGTCAACCTCTGATTTTCATGTTTGTACCTGGTCAGTGACTCGGTGTACTAAAGCCAAATGGTCAGCCAGATAGGGGTGATTTTAGATGGAGAGCTCAACAATGGCAGCCTCTATGTATGTCTTCGTAAATCATTATCAGTACTGTCAGGAAAATGTTCAGTGTTGAAAGTACGCCATCTAGAGCGAAAAAGATGGCAGCCGCCCCTTCGAGTATGTGCTTTTGTGTCTTTGGCTGCACTGGGAAAGTCATAGCTGCAATGTAATTAAAGTATCAGGAAAAGCAAGAGATTAGAACTGCCCCAAATGCTACTTCTAGCTACTTCTTGTACACACAGTCATGTTTTTAAAGTAAAAAAAAAAAAATATCTGCATTTAAATACCTTTTTTCATGTTCGGTAGCAGTCATGGGACTGTGTTCCGTAAGCTGCAGGCAGAGATTTTCAAAATCAATGGCGTAAAGATGGGAATTAACGGGGAGGAAGTGAGGACTGGTATGTGTCTGTCTGCAGTGAACGCCAACACATGCGCAATTGACAGACTCTGACAGTCACAGGATTTATGTAATGAAAAATAAACCGCCAATACTTCTGGGTGCCAACAACACTGAGTATTATTTATGTATAACAGGTATTTATATAGCACTGACAATTTACACAGCACTTTACATAGTGTACATTCACATCAGTCCCTGCCCTCAAAGAGCTTACAATCTAAGGTGTCTAACTTACATGCATACATAGAGGCCAATTTAGACGGGAACCAATTAACCTTCCAGCATGTCTTTGGGTTGTGAGAAGAAACCGGAGTACCCGGAGGAAACCCACGCAAGCACTGGGAGAACATGCAAACTCCTTGCAGATATTGACCTGGTCAGGGTTAGAACCGAGGACCCCCTAGTGCTGCAAGGCAGAATTGCTAACCAGTACGCCACTGTACAGATGAGTAACTCTTATTTGACCAGCACAGGAAACAAGGATATATTCATGGAAATGGCGGAATCAACAATCAGTTTGTTTATGTGATCGAAGCCTATGAAAAGCATGCACAATGTATTTGTGAAATATATAATGGGAATTTTGCAAAGGGCAAAATAAAATTTTCCTTCGTGTGGCACTTTAATTCTCGGAGCAGCAGCTTTTCTTTTTCTCCTCATTGTTCATTACCATAAACTATAAAATTGTTCCAATGAATAAATGTATTGAAGCTCATCATATTGTGAAAGGCCACACAGCTGTTTTCCACATTTCACTACAAACAGTAGGCAGAATATTAACTTTATCTTTCTTTCTTGATCAGGAGGAAAATGTAGGATTTGTGGATCGGTTGAACATTTTCAAAGAGATTGTCCAGAACATCAGACATCAGGTAAGATTACAAGGAGTCCTCAGTGAATGAAGAGTTTAGGGACATCAGGGCCCACAAGTCAGCGCTATGATTTAAAGTGCTGATGTCACTTATTTGTCTGGAAAAGTTGCCATTACAAGTTAACACCGCACAGTTATAATACAATTCATTAGGTTAGGAGGGCCCTGCTCCTGAAAGCTTACAATCTACAAATCATCATTCCTAATAGTGAGAAGCTGTCATGCACTGGTAGCTTTTCAACTAATCCAGATTGCATATTTTCATACAAAAGTGTAACACAATAGATCCCAGACTTTTACTTCCATGGAGCTCCAGTTTTACTCCAAACAATGTTGGGAGGCTGTCCTGTCTCAGGCAGCGCACGTTCTATGGATTGTTTCAAATTTCATTTGATGTAATTAAATCTGTCACACAATTATGGTACTGCCTTCATTTATTTCCTATTTATACCTTTTATATATTTATCTTGCTAGCATTGGATAGAGTCAGGAATGTAGGAATTTAGAAAATTAAGTAATCTTTGTCACTAATTGACTTTATAAAAATTTTGCAATACCCATCCCCCCACCTAAAATAACTTAAGATGGTAATAAGTAGAGCAATTAACTGTTGAGGCTGATCTGTCTGACATTGTGCAGTCTATATTATTTTCCAAACTGCTTGCGCAAATATCTTTTATGTGGGCAATGTTATGTTGAGGTATATGTAAACCCCTAACAGCAAATGCTTCTAATTTGCTCCCTTTTGGTCTATTATTTATATAATTGTAAGTGTTTTTTGCATACCTGTTAATTGCAAAATTAAAAATACCTGTTGATCCTACTAGAAATGTAATGAGCTGGTAACATCTATTTATATGAAGATTGTGCGGCGCTGAATCCCATTATGTGCAATAACATTTGTTGTGTCATAAAACAATACACTCTTATATTTGTGACCAAAAAGTGTCGTTATTCTTTTTGGTCACGTTTATTGGTAAAAAAAACATACATATTGGTAAAATACATACATATACAGTTGGGCAAAAAAGTATTTAGTCAGCCACCAATTGTACAAGTTCTCCCACTTAAAAAGATGAGGCCTGTAATTGGAATCATAGGTAGACCTCAACTATGAGAGACAAAATGAGAAAACAAATCCAGACAAATCACATCGGCTGATTTGGAACAAATTTATTTGCAAATTATGGTGGAAAATAAGTATTTGGTCACCTACAAACAAGCAAGAGTTCTGGCTCTCACAGACCTGTACCTTCTTCTTTAGGGCCTGTTCACATGAGATCAGGTCCTGATCAGCAGACGTGGAGCTGCTGATGCATTGCGTTTTTGGCCGCGTTTTTGATGCGTTCCAGCAAAAAAAAAAAAAATTTTTTTTTTTTTTGGGGGTGGGGGTGTTA